ACTGTATACTCTTATTTCAATACATTTAATTAAAATAAAAAACCTTACAGAAAGGTTGCGAATGACGTTTTAGGCAATCAGCAAAATTGAACTTCGTGCCGTTTATCACTTTTCATTGGTTTTAAACTCAAGAGTTTAAATATTTGCCTTAAAAGTGAAACAAGGATTTTTTCTTTTTCCATAGACACTGATGTAAAGATTATCATAGGAAAAGAGAGTTTCCGTGCCCTAAAAACCGCGACAATATTGACCTACTCAATTCTCTAACGCCGCTAAATTCTAATTTAACAGCTCCGCTTGTGTCAATAAATACGTATGATGCACGATCCGTTAAGTTGATTCGTAATAAACCTGTGAAAGTGATAAATGAGATATACAATGAATATATGGAGTTCATATATTTTGAACTGCGGTATTAGATACGTATGATGCACGATCCGTACAGGCCTGATTTTTTTCAGGTCTGATTTTCGCTATCGCATAAATAGCGCTATCTACTGCGAGGATCGTGCATCATACGTATCTAATACCGCAGTTCAAAATATATGAACTTCATATATTCATTGTATATCTCATGTGTCAATAAAGTTAGCAAATTAATGAATTGCGTGTGATATGCAGTGCAAATGGAGTTTAATTAATTTTACATACAAAAGGAACACTTACTAACTTGGTCAAAACTTGTTACGAGAACAAACGCTAGTGTGGTACTGTTGGTTACAAGATTGCGATATGTGATCATTTACTGCTGTTTTTTCGTTGTGATCTGAAAACCATGTCGAGGGTTGTAACTATCAATTCAAATCAACCTTCATCGGGATGATAAAAGGATTTAAAATGCCTTTTTTTTGCCTTTTTTTCTCAGTATGTTTATGAACCAACACTTGCTAATTGCTGGTCGGAATACGTACCCTTATGTAATGATATTAATCATTAATTCGTACTTTACGGCCAGAGATCCTGGTCTGTATCCAGTTGATAATATTCCTCACTTGCTATAGATCCAGTGGTGTTTCACTCGCTATGTAAAAATAGTTTTTCCTGATAGTCACTGAAATGATGGGTTTTTCCTTAGATTTTCTCGCTATTTTTATCTGTGGATCTGTGCCCAGATGTTGATATTGATCTATCGTTTAAATATTAATGAATCAACATAGTTGTTATATCAACACTTTGTTTTACCAATCCTAATTGAGTAACGATTTCTCAGCGGCGTCAGTGATAGAACTAACCTTACTAACGAATGAGGGAGGAAACGCCAAAATTACCCCATCGCCGAAAAACAATCATGCTCAATGCCAAATTACCTACCAACTTTTAAATTAGTTTTCAAAATGACTGTTAGGAAGTTTTATTTTAATTAAGATTTCTTTAACTTAACTACCAAACTAAGCAGAGGCTGCTGTCAGTGGGAAGCGGTAATCTCTGTCAATCGGCGTGATAGAGATACATTGTGGACATGCATGGCAAAGAGCTCTTCGTCAACACGTACTAAGAAGCAGCGCTGGATCATCATGGTAGAATCAAACTGTGAGGTAATTTTCAGGATCTACCCAAAAATATCAGAGTTGGACAAACTCCAATCAACATTTATCGTAAACTGCGTTTTGAGCAGTTTTATTTGTTACAATGCCATCACGATGAACATTTTCACAATCTATGCAATTACAAAAAAATCTACGCTGCCGAAAAACTTAAAAACATTGCTACTGAGTGTTGCTGTATCCGATGTTGGTGTTGGTTTGATAGTGGAACCATTCTTTACTTCATTATATATCAGATGGTTACGGCTTCAAAAACCGGACTTTACCTTCTACTTGGGACGCCATATCGTTATAAATTTGTTTTCAATAACTTGGTTCTTGAATGTTGTGGCCATAAGTGTTGAAAGACTCCTGGCAATTCAACTTCATCTTAGATACCAAGCACTCAGTTGTGACTCACAAGCGGGTTATCGGAGGCATCATTTCAATATGGACTTTTGCTTCGTTTGCATCCTTTGCTTTGTTCCTCTTTCCTTTTGCTGTACTCTCGAAAATAATGTCAGTTATTGGAACCATTTGCCTCCTGATCACTACAGCAATCTATTGTAAGATTCATCATACGACACGACGACACGACGACATAAAAGACAAATCCGAGTGTAGCAAGTACAAGAACTAGAGGCACGATACAGACAAATAAATGAAATGAGAAATTTGGCAAGGATCATGAAAACTGCTGTGGGTGTGTTATACGTTTACTTTGCGTTTCTAGTTTGTTATTTCCCACGCTTTATCGTTTTGGCTGCTCGTGCAATTAATGGTGCCGACATCGTTATGACTAATTTTCAAATCTACACATATACGCTGATGTTCTTCAACTCATCACTAAACCCTTTTATTTACTGTTGGAGGAGGAGACATATTCGACACGCCATAATAGACGCCCTGGGAAAATTATACACCAATCGTGTGTTTTGATTCTGGACCCTGAAAACTAGAGTCCTTCATCGGAGAGCGATGTTTACTTCGCAATCCGCTGTCTTATTTTGAAAGCAAACCGATTTTCATTTGGACTTTTTTCCGTTTAGTTTAAGTTGAAACTCGATTGTAGGTTCCCTCCAAATCGAAAGCTTTCTTATTTTGGGATGCATTCTATTCAGGATCGTGTTACAAATCTGGACTCTATACGATTCTAGCCTCCTTAGAATATCGGACGAGGTCTCAGTCTGGCTCCGTTTTGTATTTCGGCCCTGTAAGATTTTGGACGCCGTCAGACTTCAGGCGCCGTCTGACTTTCAACGTTGTCCGCTCATCAACGAAACTCGATTTGGGATTATGTTCGATTTTGGAAAACCAATGTTGTCAAAGGGGAATAAAACGCATGCGCTAGACTGGGTCTTTGAAGGCGTGGTTCGTTTTTTGATAACTGTCTTCAAATGTGCTTACAATTCGACCATAGACGCTAACATTTCGAAAAAAATTGGGTTTGGTATCCAAACAAGCAAACTTAATATCCACAAAATTACAATTCAACCTGCAAAAGATAACCTACACGTTCAAGTCTCATATTCGGTGCACGCCTCGCCTTAAGTTTTGCCTCGACATTAGCACATGTAATTACATCGTCACAACTTCTATAAGAAGGATCCTTCGCAGTAAAGCACTATTTGAGCAATAGTGGAAATCAGACCTGAAAAAAATTTCAGGCCTGTACGGGATTCGAACCACTGACCTCTGCGATACTAGTGCAGCGCTCTACCAATTGAGCTAACAAGCCAACTGGGAGCAGGCCATCAAATTAATTCGATATAAACCCGTAGATGATAAATCGAACAACAACAAACATATGAAACATATGAGTGAACTGCGGTTATGAGACGTATATAAGAACGATCCTTCGCAGTAAAGCACTATTTGAGCAATAGTGGAAATCAGACCTGAAAAAAATTTCAGGCCTGTACGGGATTCGAACCACTGACCTCTGCGATACTAGTGCAGCGCTCTACCAATTGAGCTAACAAGCCAACTGGGAGCAGGCCATCAAATTAATTCGATATAAACCCGTAGATGATAAATC